ACTATTAAGGAAACTATATATTGATACCTTCTCCTAGCCTTTCAAGCATCTCCTTCCCATAAGCAATTGGGCACCAGCCGTCTTTTGCACCATAGTAAAACTGTAAAAGCCTCTTGTGCTCCAATAAAGATTCATCTAGTTCAACTACCTAGAAAATCTTAATTAACTTCTTTAACTTTATTTTAATTAACAATGTAGAGAATATAATTTTAAAAAATAATGAATATGAAACACTGAAAGCTGACAGTTTCAAGTTCATCTGCACCCATGTATACAATATTTCTTATAACATTAATATCCATTAATTCAGTTGCAGCTTCTGGAATACAAGATGGCGTTTCCGAGTGACTAAAGTATACACCGCAGAAAAACTTCTTCAGCCATTTTGGTAAGTAATCAATGCTACCGCCGCAGAATTTCAAATAACTATCGTAATTTCGCAATTTCTAGAATAAAAGCTTTACTAACTGCAGCCGCAACAAATCATAAAGGCCTTTCTACTCAATTAAAATTTTCATCCTTCTAGAAATGGATAATCTTACCACCAGCATAGGATACATGAACTTTCCGTTGGGTGAAGATGCCATCCTTTCAATCGTCGGAAATAAACCAAACACTTTGAGCACAGTAAAACCATCGTTAATCAGAAGTGGAAGTAACCTGAACGTACAATAAATTTATTCTTTGGCCAGTTCCAAAACTCGGAATAAAGAAGAAAAACTAATGCCTTAAAACCTACTTAAGTGCAATATATGATCCAATCGAGTGGCCAACCAGAACAATTTTAGATGACTTTGACAAATGCTCACTACAGAAATCAAATTTATGTTGTATCTGACCCGGAAGGGAAATCCTGTCTGAAAGAATTACTCTCTTTTAGCACTACATCCTGATATAACTTCGGTCGTTCTTTTAACACCTCCTCAAAAAATTGATTTTTTCAGATTAAACGCAAGAATTCATTCCATATAAAAAAGAAACAAATTTTGCGCAGCGACATTGAGAAAATGTTTTTTCAATGCTGAAAAACCACTTATCACTGGCCATCAGGTCTTTGCTCTCCTTCGCCTCGCAACTCATTAGGTAATCTTACGTGATTCAAGTGGGAAACTACACAAAAAGCCAGCGCATTCTTCTGAAACATATCACCACTACGGTGTCCTGCATAAATCTTTTTTAAAAAGCGGTCACCAAAATCTTCGTAAAAAAGTTCAACCCCAGGATTCCCTGAAACAAAGCACAAACATTTCAGACCTCTGCTACAAAAAGAGTGATGCTCTACTCTTACTCGGCGCTGTAGTGATTCATAAAAAAAAAAAGTAGCCGCAGTGTCCTTTGAAAAACTACAAAATTCAAGTTTCCTAATGCAACCAATCCAAATACCTCAGAAATAACAAGAAAAGTGCTGCAAAGTAAAACTTGCCACTTACCCGGAATCATCAAAACAATATCTGAAACACATTTTGCATCCTCTGAAGTAACCCGATCTGCAGCTACATGCCCGCCCATCCATAATACTCTTGTCATATTACCAGCAACACTAACCCACTGTACTACTCTCCCAACATCAACCATTTCTGAAGTTAACGACAAGTTTTCGGCTACTCAAACCGCAAAGACGACTGGTATTATACTGAATGCCCTCTGCCTAGTACCACTTTACTTAAGCCCCTCCTAACCTACTTAAAAATAAATAGCCTGTTGATGACTAAAAGAAATTGTTCCCTCGACTTCTTCAAATAGCTAGAAAACATCAATAAATTACTTAACAAGCACAAAAAATTAGAGCCTGTAACCAAGGAAACTCTTCAACCAGGACAGTTCAACAAGATTTTATTAAACTGGGAAAAACTGCAATGGAACTATCAAGATCACAAAGAACCAACAAAGTAAGAAAGCAGTAAGACTTTTCGCACTATTTTACTGACATATTTTGAAGAACGAAAGCAAAAATCACCATTTACAAACAGTTTTATATGAAAACACCAAGCAGATGTGATTTTTAAACAGTAGAAATTCCAGTACCAAAAACCCGTATTCCGAATATATTTTGTAATTTAATCTAATTTTTAATTTGGCCCAAGAAATATATATATTCGAAAAAAACTTCAGAATTCGGATGCAATGAAATGCTCAAGTAAACTTGACAAGCTGTTATTTCAAAATAAATAATTAAAGTTAGCGGAAAGCGGATCACTGAAATGATGTTGCATCAATCATAGCAGCAAGATTTTGCACAATATTATCTGCTAGAAGATTGTTTACGGTTTCACCAAGATGTCTTTTTGGGTCCTGCTTGCCAACGTTTTTTATTGCCAACTGCTCGTCGGTCATCTTTTCTTGCTCCTCAAGGTCCTAAAAAAGTGCTACAATGAGCAGAGACGCTTGAAAAAAATAAAATTATAGGATATGCATGTACAAAAAGATCTTCTCGCTAAATAAAAAAATTTCATTTGGTTAACACTTGAGAGCAATCAAAAACTTGCACTGTCAATACTCTCCACTGGCAACAATAAATCTTGGTTTCTTGGCTAAACTTCCAACACTGTATGTTCTTTCACTGCTATAAATTGACACTTAATGAACGTCTGTTTAAAAACATTTGAACAAGTTATCTTCTAAAAGCTCCCAGACTTTCAATCATACTTCTTCAATACTTTAAAACTGCGCTTTAACGTCAGCCCCTCTCATTCCATGCTTTTAAATTCTCAACTGACTCTGCTAAACAGTTTTCAAGACATTTTTGTAAAAGGTCAATAATTTGTTTGCTAAGGCTAATATTACTGTTACTCTGCATTAACAAAGTTTTAATACTCTTCCTAAATTTCCAACTAGAAATAAATACTTATATACGTTGAAACTCAAAGATAAGTGGATAACCAACTACAAAAAACAATGAACTCTTTTTTCAAATAAATAGTGGCATGAATTAAGAGAAAATAAAAGTTTAAAAGCAGTACCTCAACTATCTATCCATAAATTACCTGCAACCCATACCTTGGTTTTTTAAATCCCTTAATTCTTACCATTAATTGACAAGAAAAAAAGCAATAGCTTGAACAACTTCCTCACGGATATTCTCCGACATAAAAACCATTTAAAAGCATTTTCGAACAAGCTCGCATAAATTAATCTTAACAAATCCAATGAAAGTTTTACTTGCAAACTAATCAACGTAATTTACTTTCCTCCCAAGCATTTGAAAGACGGTTGCTTCATTTGTAACTTAAAAATTTCTAGGGTTTCAAGTGCCAGGGTTACAACAAATTAGTGAGTCCGTCTTCTCATTAACCAAGCTAAGTTACTAACGATACTAAGCATACAGGGAGTGTTCAGATTTTACATCTCCTTTTATTATAACAGTAGTCTCCAGCTTTCGAAAATGTAAAACAAAATGAATTTACTTTTTTATATAACTTAGCAAGCTTCAACATATTCTCCATACACTCCTGATTACGGTCGCAATGATTCGAAAACCTTTCCAAACCAAGTGAGTCCATCCAAGTCTGCTTATTCAGGTTCAGCAGCATCTGGAAAGTTTGTTATTAAATCGCCACCATTTTTCATGGCTTGATCTCTCTCTTTCTCAGTTTAGAAGAGCAGCAACAGTCAACCTTCTGTTCAAGCTCATGAGTACGATAATTGATAGGTATAGAGTAATAATGCCGGTTAAGACCGTGAATTAGGGCCTGAATAGATGGTTTTTGCAAATGTCCAAGATTTGATGTTGTTTGGCGCGGTTCTTGGTTTAGTGCAATCGTTTGTGGATTAATAGTGCGGAAAGCATCTATCACAACCTAAAGTCAAACTTCTTATGACCGCAGTTTTATAAACCAGTGACTTAAAGAAAAATGAAATAGATGAAGGAAAAAAAGACAAGATGATATAAAACGATGTTATAATAATAATGGTAAAAATAATAATAGTAATGGCAATAATAATGATCCATGCCTTCCCCTTAACAGACTGTATAGGATCAACGACCACTGCAACAGCACGATCTGATAAAGCTTCAAAACTCTGCTGAGTATTGATATCAACTCCAGATAACCAGCAACCAAAGCCTGGATGCGAATGGTACCAACCAACAACCATTTCTGGTCGGCCCGTCTGTTTTAGCATATCAAGCATTTTCGCTTGAAAGACTGGGTCCACAGCTTCTACAGAAACACCCTGCAAGATCGATTACAGTATGGGGCAACAAGAAAATATAATTGGCAATGGAATCAATACACACTGTTCCGGACTGCGGCATTGCGAAAACATCAATGACGTTTACTGTATATTCATCAACAAATTCTCCAAGCATGAGACCCATAACCTAAAAAACTCCCTCTGACGTGCTTATAAGAGTATGAGCATAATTACCAGAAGTTCATTACTGTGAAAGAAATACGTACTTCCATGGGAACCCCAGCTCTTCCATGCTTTAACATCTTTAGAAGAGCTAATGACGAGATATATACGGTCTCAGAAGTATCAACTTGATTAGAATCTGTAGGAGTTCCACCACCGTACTAAAAGTCACATTTAAAAAAGCGAGGAGCTAATTGAGTCATAATATTAATCCTCTCAAGAAGTGCCTGGCATACCTGTGAACCACCAAGTCCGGGCAAGCCGCCTAACCTTATAAAACGCTCCATTTCTATGCCGCTGTCAGATTAATCTGAAAAAACAGATCCAATTACATAAGTGTCAGGTGCAGTGACTAAATACACTACATTAAGTTTGCCATCATCACTTTT